AAAAAATCAAGGTTACTTTTTCAGAGGGGAGTAAGTGAAGAGTATTGCTCAAAGACACAATTGCGAGAGGCATCAGTAGGATCTTTTCATGAAACAAGTTGCTATGAGCTGCTCACTGTGTGACGTTAAAGCCCACTCCTACCCAGTTAGGCAGTCCTAAAAAAACACGAGGGGGGAGAAGAAACTGTTTTCTGTCTTCATTCAAATCAACTCCTGCCCCCCAAAATTCAGGTTAAAAGGGATTTTTGGTCACTACATTTGAACAAATTAATACAAACTATAAAGCAACCTTCCTCTTTCCTTATAATGTTAAGTAAAAATTCTGCCCGTTTTAAAACTACAAATAAAATCAATAAGCGTACCTCGATGTTCTCAAATTTATTCACAACTCAAGTATAGTCCATTAGGTTACTGGAGTCATTTCCTCATCAGAGCTGCTGGATTCATCTTTTAGTTCCAATTCCTCTAAGACTTTGTCTTCAGCTGTAACGTTTTTCTTCTTGCATTTCTTGGGAATTGCATCGTTTTTACAGATTTTCCTCATCTTAATGTTTGGCAATTTCTTCAGATCAAAATCCCATTCTCTAGACAAAAGGAAGTTAGTTGGTGGTGGGAAAGGTGGGAGTAAGTTGTCTACAGTAAATATGCTGAAAGTAGCAGAGACGTTTCTACATGTATAGCAGACTGAAGTGCACTAGAAAGAAAAGTATAAATGCACTGGAAAAACAAACAGGAGAGCAGAGGCTTGCTGTCTTATACTTGAGCATTTCCCTTAATTTACACCAGAGGTGACCGCACAGAGTCCTGCATCTCTGAAGTAAGACAGGAGAGCATTAGGCTAAAGCTACAAGGGGACGCTGCACAATTCTTTAGTTCTTCCTGAGTATCATCCCGATTAAGCTATAAAGCAACAAATAACAGAAGTAGGACTCGTGTCATGCCTGTCTATCGCTAAAATACATGACCAGGAAAAGGATTTTCTTCCTTTTCACACGTGATGGTGCATCACAGTTACCGGTAAGTTTCAGCAATCAAGTAAGTTTAACAATAAGTTTAAAACTTCCAGTTTTTGACCAGCAGAACTTTCTGTGACAATACTTGTTCTTCTTTTAGAAGCATGGAAATTTCAAACAACAACACTAACAAAGGCTATGCTCATCTCAGGGGGACACCAAAGCCAAATGGCACAACAGACCGTATATACTCGAGTATAAGCTGACCCCAAAATCAGCCAAGGCACTTAATTTTACCACAACAGCAGCATGAAAAACATGCTGGACACTTGGCTTGTATACAAGTCTATACAGCAGTTCACAAAGACAGTGCTCTACACCCTAATTCAGTGATTCGCAACGGGCTCTTAAAGAACAGTGACGAAAGCCAAACTGGACTCAAGGACCATGTACACGTCCGACTACAGCGCAGAAAATCGCAAGAATCAGACGGTGCCTGGCGACCACTACTACATGCTCCCAGGAAGATCTCAAGGCAAGGCCCTGGACAGTGAACCGGACTCAGAATGCACTCTGCCCCCTGGTGGCAGGGACTGGGTACCCTCAAGACTGCGGCCCTGAATGATTCTTCAGGGCTGAGCCAAACTCACCTGGGTTAAAGTAATTCATCACTTAGGATCAAGAGGGCAGCATTTACCTGAGGTCAAAGTGCAGAGTTAGGAAAGGAGGAGGAGCCATGTAACACAGGGAGACTGGGAGAAGCAACCGCACACTACAATCTGTAAACCGTCAGCCAATGCACGATACAACATTTTCAAAATAAAAGTGCTTCATTAAAAACAACATTGGAAAAATCCTATGTTCTCTGACCAAAGAGAAAAAGATTAAAAGAAGCAACTGTTTTTCTTTTAGGTCTAAAATCTATATTCCAAAGAGCCGAGCATCTATGTTTCATGTAGTTCACTTACAACTTTAAAGGAATGATAAAAGGACACACTCACCTAAATGTTTTCAGATTACCTGCATCTACAATGTCTGGAATCTCTGGGGAAGAAAAACAATTATATCCGTTACACAAGGCTTTCTAAATTACACCATTTTGTCATGTCTTCATGCATACACTCAGATACAAAAAGCAATAATCCACAGGAGAAACACAAAAGTAAAACCAAGTGTCAAAGCACAGCTACAGTCAACAGGAAAAGTATGCTTGCTGGACAACAGGTTCAGTCAGGACACTGAGAGTCTGCTGTCAGATAATGAACAAGTTTTAGCACAGAATTCTATAAAATAAAGCAATCTATTAATAAACAAGCAAACAAAAAGCCTGTCCTTTGAAACCATTAAAAGATACCTGGAAAATTCCAACCATCAATATGCTAAAGCAACTTGACATTTTTTTCTCCTTCAGTGAAATGTACAAAATTTTCTCGCACATACATCACCTTGTTATAGTTTATTCAAAGAAAGCACGGTAATTTCATATTAGAAAATCTCAACAACAAAAAAAGAAAATCTCAATACTTAAGTGGTGAGAACACACACATAATGATCAACAGAGGCGAGGAAAAAAGTTCAATACAGTTTTAAAACATTCTTAATATAAACTAGGGTGTGAGAGTTTGTTACCATGACTATGAAAAATATCATACACCAATACGCACGATCATACTTACTGGTATAATACAGGAGACATTTATTAAAATTAAAAAAATACACTAAACACCATTACAAAAGTTGAGGCCAATGTATTTCATACAAAATAAATTCCAAACCTCCAAACCAAAAACTGTCGGTGAGTCAGCTCCTACTCATACCAAGCCCACAGGACAGGGTAGAACTGTCCCTAAGAATCTCCAGACTGCCCGTTTTTAAGGGAGTAGAGTGCCTATCTTTCCCCCATGAAGTGGCTGGTGATTTCAAACTGCTGACCTTGATGTTAGCAGACCAACTCTTAACCCACTATGCCACCACTATCAATCAAATGGAAACAATACAAAAGACCTTTAAGGCAGTTTTATACTGACTTTTACAGTCGTTTCAAAAAATACGAATCTGAGGGGTCAAGTGCTTAAAAGGTATAAATTAAGAACATTTAAAATAAATATATCAAATCCAAATATAATGAGTCAGAAATGGTTATGCCACCCTGGTAGGGCAGAGTATCTAGCTACTCTCCTCGGTTTCTTATTAAATTAATTTGGACACGTATTTCTAGATACTTGTGAACCTGCTTCAGTTTATTAACCTTTCACCATGCTTGGGTATACTGTAGTTAGACAACTACCAGAACTAAGTTCCAGTACAGGCTCCAGCACCAAATGATGTTTGTCTCAGACAGTTATTTAAGTACTCATACGCACATACAGATCTCAGTATTGTCACTGTTCCTGTTAGGGACCTCAAGTTGGTTCAGCCGCATAGCAACCTGTGTACACGGCCCTCTGTACAACAGAATGAATACAGATCTCCTTCCATTTCTCTAGTACTTCACAGTTCAAAGAAAACTCTGAATCTTAGCTTCTTACTAGAACCCTAGCTCCTATTCAATTTGAAGTGATGCTGCCTTGTTGGCTTTTTTTTTTTTCTTTTCTTTTTCGTGAGTGAGTGAGACAGTGAGAGTGAGAGAGTGAGTGAGTGTAAGAGTGAGACAGTGAGTGAGGCAGTGAGTGAATGAGTGAGGCAGTGAGAGTGAGGCAGTGAGAGAGTGAGGCAGTGAGAGTGAGGCAGTGAGAGTGAGGCAGTGAGAGAGTGAGGCAGTGAGAATGAGGCAGTGAGAATGAGGCAGTGAGAGTGAGGCAGTGAGAGTGAGTCACTGAGTGAGGCAGTTGAGACAGTGAGTGAATGAGACAGTGAGAGAGTGAGTCAGTGAGTGAAAATGTGGCAGTGAGTGAGTGAGAGTGAGGCAGTGAGAGAGTGAGAGTGAGGC